TTGGATCGTCTATAAAACTTTGATAATTGTAGTACAATATTTGATTGAACTTAGATCGGGAATATGACGAGATCTCCCCCAAAAGGATATTTTAAGTGGTTTATTGGAAAAATTCTGAATATGGTTTGATAATTGTTCTAGGCCGGCTGATCGTTTGTGACGCCTCGATGTTTTACTAGGGAATTGTAGCGCGACTCCAAGGTGAGTGGGCTTTTTGGTTTTCATATAGTATAATACGCTTATGCCCATATAAATTGATTTAAATGATTTGGTGTTTTATATGCATGTCAAAATGCTTTATTTTGGTATAATGCTTTTAGTAGTTGTGTATGTTATTGTTTGATGATGCAGACGCTCAGGTAAGTTCTAGTTGAGTATATATATTGATGATTGTGAGTTTCATTATGATGGTTATACATAGAGGCACTTAGAGCTCATAAACCTGCACCCCGATGTTATTGCTCTCGCCCGTGGCCAGGGCATAGTGCTTCACGTGATGTTCACCTCCTGCACCGCATGCTCATCTTTGATCTAAGTTTTGTGCACAGTCCTGTCGTACAGACCACTATAGGTGGTTTCAACTCGTAGGTGACCCGCGATTAATTAAGCACAGTCTTCACGTAATCGTAGCACTTGAGCATACTTATTACACCTAGTCATGTCGTACAGACCATATTAGGTGGTTTCAACTCATGTGCAGGAATTGGTTAATGAGCTATAGGTTCAGCCATACAGGTCACGTTAGGTGACTCCGGTTGGCATAAGGAAAATCCTTTACATTGAATCACTTATCTTCACATAGCTTATTTTCAAAATTAAGGACGAACACCCGTTCACAAAAGTTTTACAATCAGGATATAGGCTGTGAATGGACGAAAATGCTTTAAGAAATACTAAGTATGTGAGCTCAAGTTATAATTATCTAAGTCAAGTTTAAAAAATAAAATGGAATTTAATAAGAGGAACTTAGATTTTTAGTTTTAAAATTTTGGGTTTAGAGTTGGGGATTGAAAAGGACAAACGTGGGATCCCATTCCTTATTTCCCTCCCCATTTCCCGTATACTGCCTTCACACTCTCTCTCTCTCCTCCCTCACGAATTACTCTCAGTTCTTCTCCCTCTCTTCGAACTCACACGACACCACAAAACCACTAAAACCTATACCAACGACGAATCTAACACCACATTGGGAACCCTGAAGACTTCACGATCACGATGGTATCCAATTTCAAGGTAAGTTTTGCTCGGAAACCCTAGTTTTCAAAGTTTCCCGTGAAAGGTACCTGTTCATGATCTTTTAAATGGTACGCAATTTTTAGGGCTAAAACAAGATCACAGCGAGCTTGGTGAGTCCCAAGGAAGCTCCGGAGTGGCTTCGTTGGAAGTTTTTTGGACGTAAGAACAACGGAGATCGACAATTAAAGTTTGGCCGGACTTTCGAGGCTTTTTTCCGGCGAATCCCCGGCGGTTAGGAGTCGGGTAGGTATCAATCTATTGTCTCGTCAAGTACTACAACTTTCTTTTTGTTCACTCAAGTTCGTTGAGTATTGAAGAAGTTACTCATTTGAAAAATACCCAGTTCGGCCGACCTCCGAGGCTTTCGAGGCAGTTTACGGCCAACACGGCGAACTAGGTTGTTTGTGCAAGGTCCATTTCTTGTCTCTTCAAGGCTACAACTTTCGTTTTTGAATTCACTTGATTTCGTTAGAAAATGAAAAGGTGCAATTTGAAAAACTGCCCAGAAAACGGCCGCCGGAAAAACCAGTCCGGCGACCCAGGAAGAAGAAGGTGCTACAGTAAAAATAAAAAAATAAATAAATTATTTTAAAATATGTCGACGTCCGTGACGTCGGTAATCACTGGGTATATTCATAATTAAATAAACACCGTATGAGAAAGTTATGAAGATTGTTGGTTAGGTGTTTTCAAATAATTTAAGCACATTTATAAAATGTGAATTGATGATCCGACCGTTGATCATCACAAACTTTGATACGTTATAGTACGTAATAATTCAAGATTTATTGGAACTTACGGATTGGGATCCGAGTTACGGATCTTCGGAATTGGAATTGTAAGTCCCATAATATAAAATGTTTGGGGTCACTTACACTAAATTGAGAAATCAAGGAAGAAGAATTGGAGCGGAATATTGCAAACCTCGGAAAGTGATATCTAGTGGGAATTTTAGGGAGTTTTTAATAAAGTTAAATATCTATCGCTGATTCTGCTGGAATTTGATACTATCAACAAGATTCCTGCAGTGGGACAACATGTTGTTTGAAATCGGGATCAGAGGCCATACTATATTTAATACATATTTATAAATATAAAATATAAAATATTATAATAACTAAAGTGAATGCTACAGGTGAGCGATGAGTTATGTGAGGAGATTTGAGGGATATGATTTTTTGGATGCTAAATTATGCTAAGTTGGCGGGCCAATGACGTATGATGCCTAGAATGTTGTGGTGCAAGGTAGTTTTTGGATGAACTCCCCAAAGGTAGAGTCAATCCTCAATGTTTTGGTTTTCAGTCGTATATAATAATAGGGATTCGACAAGTGGAAGTATGATGAGGTGAAGATGAATGCTTAGGCTTAGAAGTAAGTATCGGTAGAGTGATAATGATAGATTTTGAGCTCTAGGTTCAACCGTATAGGGCTATTAGAGGGCCTACGGGTGATTACTTATCTTGCCACCTGATATGATTATTGATCATCATACCTTATTACTGTTGAGATGAATGTGATGGCATAATATATGAGAAATGTTGAGATGACAATGCATGGCAATGATTGAATAAAGAAGTAATGTTGAGATAGTAAAAATGAAGTTTGAGAAATATAGTATATTTATATTTTAGCATTTCTGGGAAAGATACAGGTTTTTACGGAGAGGGTTACAACGTTTTGAGAAATGTTTTGGTTTTGGAAAAGGAAATTGTTTTACTGACCCCACTCATTTGGTTTTGCGCCCCTCCAGGTTCAGGGAGATCACAAAGGTTGGGTGACCTACGAAGGAATTCGACGGTGTTCTGACAGATTGGACAAAAAATAAGGACTCACCTTCGGGTTAATCAACTTATAAATTGTAAATTAAACTCCGTACTGTGCAAATGGTTACGTCACTCTCACGTGACGGCCAGATGCCCTCCTTCGGGACGGGGGGTGTCAGTTTACATATTCCCTTGGTTGAAGAATGAACATGACAATACTTGGTTTTTACTGCCTTGTTGCATTGTTTTTACGTATATACGTAGTAATTATTTTCTGGGAAATTATACCAGGTTTTACGGTGAGGAGTTATAATTTTTGGAAAAGAGAAATGGTTTTCAAAAAGCTTTGTTTTTGCCCACTCACGTTTTTTCTGTTTTGTGCCATTTCAGGTTCTAGTAGCATAGTTTCTGTATCGATGAGGATTCTTGGCATATCCTAGAATAGTGGCTTCCTAAGATGGTATGATCCTTATCTTACCATATTGTACTTTACTTATGATCTGACATCGCATATGAAATGAATCCATACCGCTCACCTTACACTCATGTACTTAGGCACTTTTAGGTTTAAATTTATTCACATTTTCTACATCACTATATTGTATGGTTTCGTTACCTTCTAGGTGTCAGCCAACACAACTCGATTCAGAGTCCTAGTGGACATTCCGGGTTGAGGTGTGTCATAACGACTTTTTGTAAAGCCTTAAACATTGTGAATAGAAATATATCAATAATAGTTATCTAAACTACATATTAATAAAACACTCATTGTCAACTAGAACTATTTAAAATTACTAGTTTAACTTTCTAATTAAAATTGAACATGAATAAGTAATATGGGTAGAAATGTAAAAAATAAATTTCTCATTCCCACTTTATCACTCTCTTCCTCTCTCCTTCTACTTCAAAAAAAAAAAAAATATATATATATATATTTCAGACCCACTTTGTGTGTGCCCATGCCCCATATGCTAGTTACTTATAAAGAAAGTTATACAATTTAAAGACTCCAATAAAATCAAAGTATTGACTTTTTTTTGTTTATTGAAGACTTTTGAAGCATTCAAACATTGGGATTACACGTTTCATCTTCAAATCAACCAAACAGTACAAACTTGAGAAATGTAAGGAAGATTTTCGTAAAATGAGATTCTCTACGAATTTTTGTATAATAATTTTTTTTATTTAAATAAATAATATTATCTACCCTAAAAAAAAAAATTTAAACTTAACGTTACAATAAACTAACAATAATAATATTTAAATTCGTCAATATTAATAAAAAAAATATGCCAAGAACATTTAATGATAAATGATCCATATAAAATCTGACTTTCAAAAATCTCCTTAACATTTTATCCCACAAACTTTATTTAACTCCAAACTCTGTCTCCTCCTACTTTCACAGTTTCACCCGTTGTCCTTTTTCTGGTCTGGTCAACCTTGTCCGTAGTTATTTTGCCCATCACGAGAAAATATAATACATATCAGTTTCTAGTTGTCGATGTCCCACACGGCCACGCTGACATTTCCTCCTTCTCTCCTTCCCGATAGATTTTTCATTATCACCGGTATACAAAGTGTTATATTACGTGTTATTATATAAATAATGAAATATATGTGTTAGAAAATTAATAACTTAAAAAATAAAATTTCTCACTACTCTTATTAAAGCACGTGATGTACCATTTGTTTTTCCGTCACAACTAAAAATTTATCCTCCCTTCCCATCCTGGGTCCCAAGCGTGTAGAAAATTGTTTAGTTTATTCAGAAAAAGGTTATTAACACTCTAAAAATCTCATTCTACACTTCTTACTAGTGTATTTTTCTTTTTAAATTTAGAAAGTTTGGAATGTTTACAAAAATTTTGTAGTGTCAATAACAATTCCTTTTAACTAAATCCCATCCCTAAGAAATCTTCAAACCCCTCTCAGCCGTCCGATCTAAATCGTACTTTGACTCTCCCTCCCTCCCTCCGCCTTTTATATGATCCCCATACCCCTCAACACTCAACCGCCCTCACCCCAAATCTCAATTCCTCGCATGTCCTCTTGAGAGACCTCCCAACCTCGCCGGCCGGAGATTCTCGAAACCCAAACGATGGCGGTGGAGCTGATGAACTTCCCGGGATGGAAGAAGATGGAAGATACAGCAGAAGGCCATACAGGCAAGCGGCATCACAAGGATTGCAGAGCATGGAGCACCTGATCCGGTTCCTCTCTCATCAGCAGCAACAGTCAAACAACCAATCGGCCCGCGTCGACTGTACGGACATCACCGATCACACCGTCTCCAAGTTCAAGAAGGTCATCTCCCTCCTCAATCGGACCGGCCACGCCCGGTTCCGACGCGGTCCGGTTCAGCCGGTTCACTTCCCTACTTCTCACCCCTCGTCTTCACAAACACTCAACTTAGCTTCGGCTCTAAATCTTACTCCGACTCCGGCGCCGGCTCCAGTGACTACTCCGGCTATCGTCCCTTCGACTCCGATCGAGTTGAGTTTCGTCCAATCCCAGCCACACAGCATGACGCTCGACTTCACGAGGCCCAACGCCTTCACGTCGAACCCGAAGAGCGCGGAGATTGAGTTCGCGAAGGAGAGCTTCAGTGTCTCGTCGAGCTCGTCATTCATGTCGTCGGCGATCACCGGAGACGGCAGCGTTTCGAACGGGAAGCTCGGATCGTCGATCTTCTTGGCGCCCGCCCCGGCCGTTTCCGGTGCGAAGCCTCCCCTCTCTACGGCGCCGTATAAGAAGAGGTGCCACGAGCACGACCACTCCGACGACACGTCGTGCAAGTTTTCCGGCTCGGGATCTGCTTCCGGCTCCGGCAAGTGCCATTGCTCCAAGAGAAGGTACGTGTAATTCATTACCCGCGCATTTTAGTTTACACTTCCTGTCCCCAGCTAAAATACGCCTCTCGCACGATTACTGAGACGATAGGATTTGGCTGGTTTTTCCATTGTCTCACGAACCACGAGAAAATTAGTTGGACCATCCGAGGAAGCGAGTTGACTCGGACGACTCAACTCGGTTTTATTTAGTGGACCCGGCCCGTATCTGGGGTCAACGGTTTTGGTTGCTGGGCTTTAATGGTCGTAGCACGCGTTGACGCTGATACGTTAAGATGAGCCTGGCGTATTGTTTTTCTCCGCGCGTGGGATTATTTAATTTTGACCGACGACTAAAACCCCCTAAAATATTTTTTATATCCGCAATTTTAATTAATAAATTAATAGTTTTAATTTTTGGTAATTCAGGAAAAATCGGGTGAAGAAAACGATTCGTGTGCCGGCGATAAGTTCAAAAATCGCGGATATTCCAGCGGACGAGTACTCCTGGAGAAAGTACGGTCAGAAGCCGATCAAGGGCTCGCCTTACCCAAGGTACTTAATTTAAATCCCAGCCGTTGATTTGTAATCAAAATGAAAAATCGTGAGGTGATATATGATCGGACGGTGAGAATTGAATCCGACGTTTGCTTAATTGTTTTTGTTGAACAGGGGATATTACAAGTGCAGTACGGTAAGGGGGTGCCCGGCGAGGAAACACGTGGAGCGCGCTCCGGATGATCCTGCGATGCTGATCGTAACGTACGAAGGGGAGCACCGGCACGCGCCGGAGAACGTGGGGTTGGTGTCTGAGTCGACGTGAGTGAAAGTGGGTAGAAAGAAAAGAAAAGTGGGTAGAAAGATGGATTTGTTCCAGCAGTTTGAAGTAGTTGAGAGGAAGGTGGTGGAACTGGAATGGATGTAAATTTTTATTTTTATTTTTAAATCTTGTAGTTTAATTAAGTGGATAATGGGAAACAAATTGAGGGAAGAATCTCAATCTGTCTCAGCGGTGTTTAATTTAACTAATTTTACTTCTTTCCAAATTATTTAATTAATTTTATTGTATTTCATTCGGTGGGAAACTGGAAATAATATTTATTTTATTGGTTAATTACACTAATATCTCTTGAAGTTGAAGTTTAACGAGTTTTTACAAATATTTTTTTACATTTAAAACATTACGCTAACATTTTTTCAAATTTTAATTCCTTTTATACAACGTTTTAGTAAAGTATATGCTCCTAAATTTATTAATTTATTCTTATTAATTACTGGAAACTAATTAAAAAACTTTATAATTATATATAAAGATTATAAAACATTAAACACTTAAAATATAATAATACGGAAGCGATCCAAACATCAACCCGAGGGTTTTGATATTGCAGTTTTAATTTTACTTTTGATTCATCGGGGCCGTCTCAAGACGATGAAGCTCTTGAGTTTGTGGTCCTCGTTTTTCATTTGAGCTGTCGTATTTTAATCTATGAAATGAAAGTCAAAAAAGTTGATACGTAATTAGGGGGAATCATGGTGACTTAATTGATATGGGGGACAGTTGGCGTTATAAGTCAAAAGCTCCCCCTACCTTCCAATGAAATTTTATTTTTGTGGGAGGTAGGCATGAAGGCACTAGACTTTCGGAATATGTAGAAGTATATGATGTGTTATTCAAGATTCATTTATTCCTCGATGTTCACCGTTTGAAATCATAGTTTGCTTTTTCCTTGATTGACTTAGTACACATTGAAGATTACATTGCCACAAAGTGTTAATGGATCGGTTTTTTCGCCTCTATCGATTTTCTGGTCGGTTTGGTTTGAGCGATATTATCTTGGTTGTTTAGAGTTGAACGCAAAATTTTACCATTTAACTATTTGAGTCGTAAACTCATTAAATTATGCTTGAAAGCAGTGACTTGCCCTTGCCCACCACAAAGAGTTAAAGAAAGAAGTTTTGGATGAAGAATCGGAGTAAAGCAAAGAGAGCTAAAGTTCATGATCACAAATATATTCAGTTTGATTTCGTATAAGTGTTTAACCGTAGTTTTTGAAGGGACCAAATTGGCAACCGAATCGCCAAACGTGGTTTGGTTTGGTTTCATAAACAAATTAATTTTGCCATGTGAAATATCAACCTAATCCATCTAATTGTTGCGATTGATTGATTTTTTTCGCGTTTTATTCAATATTTTGTCCACCCTAGGAGGTTTGAAGAGGCCATTTGAGAAGAATAGTGTCTATTTTTATTGATGATGGGTTAAATAGAAGTTGAAGCTTGTTACTGAAGCTGGGCTATATTCGTGTTGGAAAAAAAGCTGCACCGCATACTACCAAATGGATGAAGATTAAGAAACATCTTGGGCATCATTTGGACTTGTTAGTATCATATTATATTGGACTTCGTTACTTAGGCTTCCAGACATTGAACCCATGATCTATGTAAAAGGGGATGAGCCCTTAGTCTATAAAAGGGACTCCTCACCCTCACAATCAAAAGGGCCTCACATCTCCAAAGAGAGGCTCATATCCAGCAACCCCCTCACACTCTCAAACTCTTTCTTTCTCTGGGGGACTCCCCATCACCCTTGCAATCCATACATACAATTAGAGAGAAATACAATCAACATCAGTGTGGACGTAGCCCAAACATTGGTGTAAACCACGATACATCTTGTGTTCTTTACTTTTTTGCAGATTCACGGTCGGATTTACGTTGTTCCAAGACCCCTCCGGTTTTGTGCATCAACATTTGGCGCCGTCTGTGAGAATCGACACAAAAAAACTATGTCGATTCTCTTTCATTTTTTCATCAAATTTCACCACCGTGAATCTGCAAAATCACAAAAACTCAGAAACCCAATAATCTTTCTCTCTCTCTCCCTTCAGTTGTATTTAGTACTCATCGTTTCTAAGTCAAAGGACAAAACGAAACAGAACCCAACTCATTCAATTTATAAGCTTCTGAAATCAGAAGCAGCAAAAAATGAAGGAAAGCTGGAGATCCATCTTCATACAAACAAAACAACCGACTCACAAGGGAACCTGGAGGAGTAGAGAAAACGGCGGCAAACCTGGAGGAGTAGAGAAAGCGAACGAAGGTCAATACGGCGTTGTACGAAACGCCGAGAATCAGAATGACCCGTTCGGAGCTCCGGTGCTTACGCGGCTGGTCGATTATGTTCTCCAACACCGGTGACACCGAGGCCAGGATGCAAGAGTGCATCGGGATACGAAGGGCGTCACAAATGAGGATGTCGACGTCGGGTTCGATGAGAGATTTGGTGCCGGAAAGACCGTGCAGGTCGACGGAGGTGCATCATTTCGGCTTATAAGAAGGGTCTCGAGATCAATCCCGATAACGAGGCTCTGAAATATGGTTTGGCCGACACTCAAGCCGGTGCGGCCCTCTCCCGAGCTAGACCTCCGCCCATGAACCCTGATGCTGAAGCTTTCTCAAATCTCAAGATGTGGGCCAAGCTCATTGCGGATCCATCGACCCGAGCTTTCTTGCAGCAACCCCACAAATCTCGAAGTTTTATCCAATGGCGTCCTGCAAAGTTATCTCTCAATTGAGCCATTCATGATGCCGCTGGATTTGATCAAAGATAACCAACATAATATTACACATAATTGTCTATATAAAAGCTTTGCTTATGGTAATTTTCCTAAAAGACGTGCTGTTGGAAACAAGAAATGTTTGAAATGGCCTCCTCATCCTGCTGTTCCTCACTGTCCTCCCCCTGACCAGCAATAACCAGCAACCAAAAAAGGCCTCATTTTCCCGCTCTTCCACAATCTCGGCCTTCTCTTCCTCCGGCAATGGCAGCCCTCCCAAGTCGTTCGACTACAACTTGCTCATCATCGACGTCGGCGTCAGTGACCACGGTGTCGCTCTCCACGCCGTAAAAAAGGTTTTGAAAACTGCCATAATGAGGAGATTGGAAAGGGATATCAAGAAAGCAGGAAAATGAGATTGGAGATGGATCTCAAGAAATCTGATCCCTACCACTGTCGGCAAGCATGGAAACCATGATTGTGGATTTGGACAGTGGTTATCCACTATCCCACTGAAAAAAAAAACCCACGGGATAACATGCAAAAGTATCCCACTGAAAAAACACTCATGAGGAAGCAGTGGTCACATGCGCATGTTTGATGTTATGGTGGACACCACCTATTATTCTATAGAGAATTTCAATTTCTTTGGGATCTCTGTGGTTGCCTCCGCAACTACCAGCTGCACATGTTATCCCATTATCCAACCATCTGCTATACCCACCTTCTACAGCAGTCTTTTTTTTTAATGATGTAATTTATTTTTCTTATTTTTTGGAGACATCTATATAAACCCCATAAGAGGGTAATAAAAAAAAAAAAAAAAAAACGGCAAGCCTAAAATAATGGGCTGGAATGTTATGTGCCCATATGCCCAAAAGAGCTAGGCCCTATGGCTCCAAAATTATTCGGCAACCTGCCGCTATTATCACCAACCAGGTGATCAAAAATACGTCCAATACTCCAAAATTATTCTGCAACCTGCCGCTATTATCACCAACTAGGTGATCAAAAGTATGCCTAGTACTCCAAAATTATTCGGCAGCCTGCCGCTATTATCACCAACTAGGTGATCAAAAGTATGTCCAGTACTCCAAAATTATATATGAGCATCACTCATGTTAATCATACATAAACATTCATGAGCATCACTCATGTCAATTATACATAAACATTCATGACCATCATTCATGTCAACATTCATGAGCATCACTGATATCAATCAGCTTCGAAAGCTTCATTTACAGAGCTCCAGCTTTGAGAGCTTCAGCTTCAAAAAGCTTTATTTACAAAAGCTCCAACTTCAAAGCGTCACTTGCAAAGCTTCACCTACAAAGTTTCAGTGCATAGTCTACAAAGACCGCCTCCGATCAACCGCTATTTCGGCCCATACATGGATTGAATTTGAAGTCTTCAGCCAACAACCTTTATTGACTGAAGACTTGGGGGATTACACTATGTACCATATATTGGGCTTCCACAACTGGACCTCATGAAAAATACTTGGGGGGACTTAGCCTATTATTTATGTATTGAGAAGCGATCCCTTATTCTATAAAAGGGACTTCCTCACTTTCATTAAAGAGCACCCATTATTCATGTAATGAGGAGCGATCCCTTATTCTATAAAAGGAACTCCCTCACTTTTATTAGAGAGCACCCATTATTCATGTAATGAGGAACGAGCCCTTATTTTATAAAAATGACTCTCTCACCATTATTAGAGAGCATCGTCGCTAGTTGAGCAACTGCCTCGCCGCGAGCATCACTCATAACCCATTATTCATGTACTGAGGAGTGAGCCTTTATTTTATAAAATGGACTCTCTCACCTTCACTAGAGAACATCGCCGCTAGCTGAGCAACCGCCTCACTGAGAGCATCACTCCTAACCCATCATTTATGTATTGAGGAGCGAACCCTTATTCTATAAAAGGGACTCCCTCACCATCATTAGAGAGCATCGCTACCTACTGAGTAACCGCCTCGCCGCGAGCATCAACTCTAGCCCATCATTTATGTATTGATGAACGATCCCTTATTCTATAAAAGGGACTCCCTCACCTTCAATGCCACAAGCTGAGCCAACCAAGGCAACATAAGCCACAAGCCGAGCATCCTCGCAACATGTGCTACTTCTGGTTGAGCATCATTTCAGATTGGGCACAACCTCATATTGAGTATCAGTTTTAGACGACATCTAGCTATTTTAGCTCATACATGGACTGAATTTCAAGTCTCCAGCCAAAAGACTCTCTTGACTGAAAACTTGGGGGACTACTGTTAGTACCATATTATATTGGGCATCGTTACTTGGGCTTCTAGACATTGAGCCCATGATCTATGTAAAAAGGGAGAAGCCCTTAGTCTATAAAAGGGACTCCTCACCCTCACAATCAAAAGGGCCTCACATCCTCAAAGAGAGGCTCATATCCAGCAACCCTCTCACACTCTCAAACTATCTCTTTCTCTGGGGGACTCCCCCTTACCCTTGTAATGCATACATACAGTTAGAGAGAAATACAATCAACATCAGTGTAGAGGTAGCCCAAACATTGGGGTGAACCACGATACATCTTGTGTTCTTTACTTTCCTGCAGATTCACTGTCAGATTTACGTTGTTCCAAGACCCCTCCGGTTTTATGCATCAACATGACTTAATGTAAATTAACATGAAAGGTGTCTTCTCAAGATGATGCGTAATGAAAGTTTGAAGCGAAGGTTAAAGGGTGCGATTGTAACTTTGAAAATTGCAAGGGGGTGGATTGCCTATGGTGAATAAGGCATTCATTTTTGACCTATTACGCTTCAGGTTCAAACGTTCTCTCTCTCTTTCAAGTAGATTAGAATAGTAATAACGCAAGGAATTAAAAAAATAAAAATTACTGAGAAAATGTTTTTGAGGATGAGTTGATTCTGGATTCATGCCAATGGTAGAGTTTTTATTGCATATATGTATTGAAATGAATGGTTTCTCCTATATATTTTCTTATATAATAATTAAATGTGGATCTTGAAACACAAAATCGAGTGGCTGAAGAAGCTGTCATATGAGCACAGCCTTGTAACATGGGCTTGTAATTAAGCAAAGTATTGAAGTAATTAGTTGTATACAGAATTAAGTCAAGATGGTGAGGGATTTATTATCATCTCATACTAAACCCGAGCCCGCTCTCAGATTAGTACTAGTATGGCACACCTATCTTTGATAGGTACATAACAAACCACAATTGTTGCTCAGATTAACAAAAAAAAAAGTGTTTAAGCTTTTGCTAAATACGTTTAAGAACGAGTACATATATGATATACCCCAATTTTTTTTAATTATTTAAGAAAGAACCTTGAAGGTGTAGAAGTAAATGTTGGAGCAATATTAGAAAATATGAAAGATAACAATATAATTTCAATGATAATAATCATAAAGAAATTCACAACATCAATTATATATGAGATTAACATAAACAACTAGATAGAAAGTTAGAAAAAACTGATAAACTTGGAGATTGAGGTTTGCATAAATGCAATGTCCTAAAGATAAATTTCGCCCATACTCTTGTGCTTGTAGTTCGGTAGGCGTCCGTCTCCCAGGATTCAACAATTTATAATCCGAAGTCAAAACACTTCAATCTTCGGACTCTGGCGAACTTCATATTTTCCGTATTCTCAAGACACGACTCTGAATTTTACACATGAAGCATAAGAAAAACAAAGTGAAGAAACCCTATTTCTCAAGAGTAAAAATTAACTCTAATTTTCTATCTTTCATGAGGTTAAATAAAACTGAAGACATTGATTGACGAAGAGATGCATACATACCTCTTTTAGATGGCACCATTTAAAGGGTCCATATTCAATGTGGCGCCACTTTGTATAAGATGGCACCCACTTAATGACAGATACGGTTTGATACAAACGGTTAAAGTATTTTTCATTCAAATATTGAATTAAATATTATAATATATAAATTTCAACAGTAAATGCTTGTTACAGTTTGAATTATACAACTTTTGTATCAATCAATTGCAACCATGCATTTCACCTTCAATTATATGGAAAAGGATACTCGCCGAATCATTTTTCTAGAGATCTTATGATCGTGACCGTTTATCGTGTATCGTACAGTCAGTTTTCATTGTGTACTATTTTTTTTTATTTTAAATTTTAAAATAATTTTTAACTGCACGATATACGATGAATAATTACGAACATGGTATTCCTAAGATCCAAAAAAAAAAAAGAATTTGACGCGGATCCTTTTCCCAATTATACATCTATGTATCAATCAATCGCAACAAGAAAGTAAAAAAAATTAGGTTGAGGACTTGATAGGTCAAGTCTATGCCTTGAAGACAACTTCTAGCTACAGAAGAACAAGCAGCAATCCTTGACTACGTCCTCATTTTTAACCTTATAAATTGTCCAGAGGTCAGTTTTTCATGCCTCAAAACGACACTCACTACCCAATTTCACAACCCACTTCTCAGAAACTGTAGTACTGGTTACCCAAACAATTGGAAGCGATCGATCGTCGCCAATTCGACACACTCATTCTTCGTCCTAGAAGAAACACAATCGGAGGTACGTACCAGATCAAATTTTGTAACACATGTTATGTTTTAACTAAACAGTAGATACGTGGTAGGGATATAGTTCCAACTCAAGCCTTTTCTCGAACTTGGGAGCTCAAAATATGGGAGTGTTGGCTGTGAGATTGATCTTTGTATACACAATTTTGAATGCATTTATCTGCTACTTGGAAGGAAATGAGAGAGATCGGCTTGCCTTACTAGCCATCAAAGCTCAAATAAAGCAAGACCCTCATCAAGTGTTGAGTTCTTGGAACGAATCCGTTCACTTTTGCAAGTGGTACGGTGTAACTTGCAGTCCAAGACATCGTGAGAGGGTCACCGTCACTGGCGGATCCACAGTGGGGTCGTCGGGTTCGCACGACCCCTTGGAAACCATGGAAACAACCTTGAAGCTCCCATATGCGACCTCTTGGAGCTGGGGTCGTCGGGTCGGACTCGCACGCCAACTGTTCGACAAAAATCCTGAACCAAGACTCGGCAGGAAGAGGAAGAAGAAGCAGCGCTCGCATGGAAAGCAACGAATCCTACATATACATTCTTCAAAATAATGCTTATATGGAAAGCAACGAATCCTACATTTAATCTCAAATATCCCTTTTTAGCGTGATTCTATGCAATTTAAGTGATAACTGATATCCGTGATGCAGTTTCTTATGAAGTAATGAAAACATTGGATGAAGTAATCAACATTGTTTTCCGTTTGGATATTGGTAAGCTGAGATAAGCCTATCTGTTTGTAATGTTTCCAGGTGTATATAAAGGCAACTGGTGAGAAGAGTGCAGAGATGGTGACTGACGAAGGTGCAATTTATGTGACATCAAACAGAGGCTACAACTGGAGGGCTGCTGTTCAGGAGACTGTTTCCGCTACTCTTAATAGGTATGTTTTCATTCATTGGTCGGATTAAAGATTATAGTTGGAAACTTAAGACGTTCACACAATATTTCAAAGTTTGAGATTTTACGTATATCGTGAATATCTGAGATGGTTTCTTTTCGTTTTCCTCAGATTTTCATATTGTTTAAGTTGGTTGCTCTTTTATTAACGATACAAAGGCAACAAGTTTCATGTATCTCCATTGCTTTTTCAGAACAGTTTCTAGTGGAATTAGTGGTGCAAGTTACTACACTGGAACTTTTAATTCTGTGAATCGCTCACCCGATGGAAAATATGTTGCCGTCTCAAGCCGCGGTAATTTCTATCTCACTTGGGAGCCTGGCCAGGTGAGTTTCTCCTTTTCCATGCAATATGGCTTTTCCTTCTGTCTACTCACTGTGTTTTATCTTTTACCCCCTGAAAATTCAGATGCAGTAAGTTTGTGGGATATACTCATGCACTCATGTTAACTGTGAAGCCTGTGATTCATTGCCTTCTTTACATTTTCAGCCATACTGGCAGCCACATAACAGAACAATTGCAAGAAGAATTCAAAACATGGGATGGAGAGCCGATGGTGGTCTTTGGCATTGTACAGTTTGTACTTGCACCCAAACAAGCAGATATTCATGAACAGGTTAAGTTTCTTATGGATTAATAAATATCCAAAAGAGTGTCAATCTAAGAAATGTAAACAACACAATTTGAAAGAAAGCAACAAGTAATTGGAACAGTCAACCTTTCATATTATTTATTTTCTTTACTTCGTTTTGCTAGCTAGATTGAAATACATTGTTGACTTACTCCGTCGACACTAGACCAAAGACACAAGGCTTATTATCTAGCTTGATATATACATTGACCTCCCCATACAGTAAAAAGATGACACTAATGGTTAGTAGCTATAAGAGGTTTGATGTAAACTATACGCAGTGTACACAAAATGAGATCCAAAGGGTGCCCAATACTGATCTTTGCATGCTTGTTCAAGAAGTCATAAGACATTTCTCAAGTGACTTAAAACCAGTTCTTCTAACCAACCCGAGTGCCTAATTTCCATTGTCCAATGCAGACCAAATCTATAGGTAGTATAATTTTTCAGAAGGGCTGCTAAAATATGGTTTCCATGATCAGTTCTTCTAAAACATCTTCTACCATCTCGAACAACCTCCTCAGAATCATTCCGGAGATCTAGCCATGTTCCAGAGCTTGTTATGTCCTTTTCAACAATTTTCTGCAACTTCCGTGGTGATGAATGTGGTAAGAGGTACCAATCAACAGACTTCATCACCTCATTAATCACAGTTTTCTCAATGGAAAGTTGTCTTGAGGCAATTGGCTTGATAAATGACACCAACGGGGAGTATGGAAGCCAGTGGCGGGAATTAATCGACGCTTCATTCCCCAATAGTTTGTAATATTGTTTCCATTATGAATTATGAATGAAAGTACTATGATTTCATTTTCAATATGTTTTTCCATCCTAAATTTTTATTTGAACTTTTACACTGCGACCCCTTGGGGTAAGATTCCTGGATCCGCCACTGGTCACCGTGCTCAACTTAGGGTCCCAAAACCTGGAGGGTTCCATATCTCAACACATTGGAAACCTGAGCTTCCTAAGGGAACTCCGCCTCGGAAACAATAGCTTTACACATCAAATCCCTGCTGAAATCGGGCGGTTGCGTAGGTTGCAAGTATTACTTCTGTACAACAACAGACTCAGTGGCCCTATTCCGACCAACATATCCAATTGCTTCAACCTCGTCACTATTCATTTTGGTTACAACAACTTAGTGAGTAAAATTCCCTCAGAAATCGGCTCATTGTCCAAGCTTCAAACACTAGTTTTAGAGTTTAATTGCTTAACCGGAGCGATCCCTCCTTCCTTGGGAAACCTTTCTGCTCTTGAGATGCTTGCTGCATATAATAACAGCTTGTCCGGAAGCATCCCTAGTTCTTTAGGCCAATTGAAAAAATTAACCTTCTTTTCGTTGGATTTGAATCGATTGTCTGGCATGATCCCTCCTTCCATCTACAACCTCTCTAATATTGTTAAGTTTTCTGTGTCGATAAACCAAATTCAAGGGAGTCTTCCCTCAAACTTGGGAATAACTCTTCCCAATCTCCAAAACTTTCACATTTTTACAAACCAATTTACCGGAGCAATTCCCATGTCAATATCCAACATCACAAGTCTGGCCAGATTCATTGTTGCAGAGAACCATCTATCCGGGCCAGTTTCGAGTTTGCGAAACCTTCATAACCTCCAACACTTCGCCATTAACCAAAACAATCTTGGAAGTCGTGGTTACGGTGACTTGAGTTTTATCTCAGACTTGATAAATGCCACAGAGTTAGGGCACTTGTTTTTAGGCACCAACAATTTTGGTGGGACTCTTCCCTCATCAATTTCCAATCTCACAACAAAGCTTCAAATGTTTGGGGTGCAAGAAAACCAACTAAATGGAAACATTCCATTCGGGTTTGGGAACCTGATCAGCTTGGAAGCATTGAGTTTGAGGAATAACCACTTCACAGGTAACATCCCCAATGACATTGGAAAGTTATCTAGTCTAGGGTTATTGGCTCTTGGGCGCAACGAATTATCCGGGAGCATTCCTTCCTCTCTAGGAAATTTAACCATGTTAACCACGCTCCAATTGCAAGGGAATAACCTTAATGGCAGCATCTCTTGGAGCCTAGGGGAATGCCGTCGGCTGGTCCAATTGAATCTTTCCCGGAATAACCTTGACGGTGTGATACCTGATCAAGTTCTTGGCCTCCCTTCCTTGTCCAAATATTTAGACTTGTCTAAAAACCGCTTTTTTGGTTCCCTTCCCATGGAAGTTGGAAAGTTGAAAAGTCTAGGTGTGCTGGATGTTTCTGATAACATGCTATCCGGAGAACTTCCTAGCACTCTTGGTAGTTGTTTGGGTTTAGAAGTCCTACACTTGCAAGGTAACTACTTCAATGGGACAATACCTTCATCTATGGTTTCACTGAGAGGAGTACAAGATTTAGACCTTTCTCGCAACAATTTCTCGGGTGAAATTCCACAGTTTTTAGAAAGATTTGACTTCCTGAGGAATTTGAACCTGTCTTTCAATGATTTTTGGGGAGCGGTACCAACTCAAGGTGTTTTTAAGAATGCAAGTGCAAGTTCAGTTGTCGGAAACGCCAATCTCTGCGGCGGTGTTGCTGATTTCCATCTGCCCAAGTGCATCTCGAAAAAGTCCAAGGGGAGAGGACTGTCTTCGAGATTGAAATTAGTACTCTCCATAGTCCCTGCCCTTATAGGAATAGCTATGGTGTTGTTCTTTCTAACTCTCTGTCTTTTAAGGAAGAGAAGCAAAAAAATTGCATTACGGAGCACCAACTTGACGAACTCTATTTTGCAAGTGTCATATAGTACCCTCCTCAAAGCTACCGATGGGTTTTCTTCAACGAATCTGATTGGTTCGGGTAGCTTTGGATCTGTGTACAAAGGAACTCTTGATGCTGCTGACGGATCACCTCAGCTTGTCGCCGTGAAGGTGTTTGACATGTTACACCAAGGAGCTTCTAAGAGCTTTCTAGCCGAATGTGAGGCACTAAAAAATATTAGGCATCGGAATCTTGTCAAGATTATAACAGCATGTTCAAGTGTTGATTTTCACGGTCATGATTTCAAGGCTTTGGTTTACGAGTTCATGGGCAATGGAAACTTGGATGAGTGGTTGCATCCAACTTCTGGAACACAAGAGGGTACACACACTCCCAAATATCTGAATCTTATTCAGAGGCTAGACGTTGCGATTGAGGTTGCTTGTGCGTTGGACTATCTTCACAATCACTGTGAGACGCCAATTGTTCATTGTGACCTTAAACCAAGTAATGTTCTGTTGGATAACGATTTGACTCGCATGTTTCGGACTTTGGATTAGCAAGATTTGTCTTAAAACCAACCGATAACGCGCCAACAAATCATCAAACAAGTTCCATTGGGATAAGAGGATCAGTTGGTTATGCTGCTCCAGGTAAATATTCTCATCCCTTGTGCTTCACAGTTCCCTTCACTTCTTTCTTACTCTAAAGTAACTCAAAGAGAGCTATTCTATTTACATTTGAAGTGATAATTTGTGATGTCTAATTGAATTGTAGAGTATGGTATGGGAAGTGAGGTTTCGACATACGGAGATGTCTACAGCTTTGGCATTCTTTTATTAGAGATGTTCACCGGGAAGAGACCTACCGACAACATGTTTAGTGACGGCTTCAACCTTCATAACTTTGTGAAGACGGCTTACCTGGAGCGAGCTACAGAGATTGCAGATCTGCTACTTCTTCAAGGAGGTGACAAGGACACTCCCAACGATCAATGCAGCTCGAGAGCTCAAAAACTCGAGGAGTGCTTGAGTTTGACATTCGGAATTGGGATTGCTTGTTCTGCTGAATCCCCAACAGACCGAAAGGATATCAGTGGCGTCGCGTCTGAATTGCGCTCCATTATGAACAACCTTCCCGCATGAGAAGTTTTGTTTTATATGTTCTACATGAGATATGTTGCTAGATAGCTTATTCATATGGGGTCAAGCTGCTTGTACATATGTTGTGTTTCCTTTCATATGAGCTTAGTAAGTTTAATACTTTAAATTATGTATATAGCAAAGTTTCATTAACTGAGAATTAATTTAGTATTAGCTGGTTTTGACTTTGTTGCACAAGCAAGAAAAAGCATAAAAATGAGACGGTGCAATTATATGGTCTAGTAAGTTGGCCAGCTAACAGATGCTTGTGTTGAAGGCGGTTGATTGCTCTGGTGGTTAGAGTATTTCTCTTCAAACTATTGCGTTCCACATTCAAATCATTTCTTGATGTAGAACAAATGCCCGAGCGGATTGAACAAGAAATTGACTGTCAGAAGACAAAAGGATGCAGTGGGAATTTTGAGATTTGGGTCCGATCTCCAATTTGGGCCATGATACATTTTCGGAAAGAGAACAGCGCGGCGTTTTCAACACACAACTGCGTAGTGAAATATAATGGATTTTAGCGATCTGAGGTCGTTTAGGATTTCAAAAATGCATTTAAATTCTTGTGATAAAAATCAGACCTTTTGATTGTCCAAAGATGTTGTAAACAGCTTATTTAAGTCGTGGATGTTATCCATTGCACTCATCAATTAATCAAATTATCTTTTGAGATTTTTATCAAAATGGTGAACTCCAATAACTTTGGTTCTTCAAAGATTTAGGTTGGTAATCATTTTGTTTCGTGATGCGTTATTTCATCTCTCTTTAGTCTAGATGACTAGTATAGAAAATATCGTTTGTAGTAATAATAATAATAATAATAAAAAGAATGTTAAAAATGAAAAATCTGTAATGTTTGTAAGTAAACAATACAATTGACGTGTATCACATTACCTGATCACATCTTGTGAAAAATAATCAAACAATAATTATTACACGAAAATGAATCTTGCAGGAATTTGGAAGTAGCATATTCTATAACAAACATATTGAACAATTTTTCATGTACTAACGTGACAAGAAAAAAAAGTTGATAAAAAAAGTAGAATATTCTTCATGCCTTCGCCCAGTACACTTTTCGTGGGTTCTCTCAATTATAAATTTATATCTACCATCCATGTGGTGTGGAGGTTGGGTTAAAAGTAACCATCCAACATTAAAACTTATTAAAAATGGTCATTTGAAAGTTTCAAAGATTATGACCACATGAAAAAATAACACAAACTTGCACCATAAGAAAAAGAAAATAAGAAAACAATACAACAGAAAGTTTGGACAAATTTCCCAATTTCCAACTTCCACCCACCCTTATTAAACAAATTTATTCATTTTTATTACATCTATGCCTTTTTAGAAACACGGTTTTCAGACACTATTTGATCACATACATATAAGAAACATTTTTCGTTGCATTCAAATTTTAGTCGCATCAAAAGTAAAAATCAAAAAATAAAATAAAAGAGCAACTTATTAAGATTATAGAAAGAGGAGAATTTCTAGACACCCGTTAAATTGCCATTTGTCTTAATGGAGTATTTTTCCATGGGATTTGGATCCTCTCCTGGGCAGGGGATCCGAATCCTCCTGATCAGTTAATATGGACCATTAGATTTTGATCTTACGACTACAATTATCATAACTTTTAGATCAACTCTCTATTTATAACCGTTGAATTTCCCTTGTCATCTAGCCATGAGGATTCGAACCCTCTGCTCAGGAGAGGATCCAAATCCTTTTCCATGGCATCCTATTTATAATTTCATGTTGCCCTACCCAACGGGCCAACTCTCCCAATAAATCAAGAATTAATGATTTCTCAAATCGTGTAGAAATTTTAACTTATGAATGAGTTTGATGCCCTTGGATTCTGTATTTGTGTGCAAAGTGAGCGGAAGAAGAGAAGAGGAGGCTGAAAAGAAAAAAAGTAAACAAATTGCAGAGGAGGGAGAGAGAGAGAGAGAGAGAGAGAGAGAGAGAGTGGCAAAAAAGCCTAAAACGAGTTTAACAACAAAGCAAAGAGAGAGCAGGGGGGTTTGCGGTTTTGCCTTACTGTCATGCACTTTGTCATCACTCTCGTCGGATGCGATTTATAGAACTCTGCAACTAGTGGTCTTTCTCTATCACTACATTCCTGATTAGGGCTTCTCTGCGTCCTGGGTTCACAAGCCGATTCGACTCGGCCGGGTGAACTGGATCTCTCTCCAACTTCAAGTGAGTTACCTTCTTTTTCGTTCCTTGTATGTCTTAACTCATGAAAATCTGGATTTGCTTTGCTTTTGCTTTTGTGGGTTCAGTGAGATTTCTCTGTTCTTTCTTGGCTTGTGGGTTTCGATTGGTAAGGACCCAGATGAGATTATTTTTTTTTCGATAATTCCTAGAGAAATTGAGAAAATTTCACTTTATAAAGGAATATAAGAAAAGCCCAATTTCAATTTTATTGCATTTAGCTGCTTAAAGTTGTTGTTTTCTTTTCGCTCCCAATTTGTGTGAGACTTGTAGTTTTGCAGCTTTTGATTTTTGGGGTTTTTTTGTGTGATATTAGGATTTGAATGGCGCATTCCGTGAATGATAATAGCATTGAGAGTTTGATATCTGCAAGCAAGGCATTGAGGCTAAGCTTACAGAAATCACAGGGCATAGGGTCGGCTCTGGAGAAAGCCGGAAACCGATTTGAAGAGATTAACCACAGGTTACCTTCTCTTGAAGCTGCAGTTCGACCCATTCGCGCAGACAAGGAAGCCCTTGCTGCTGTTGGTGGTCATATTAACCGCGCTGTTGGCCCTGCTGCAGCTGTGCTTAAAGTTTTTGATGCTGTTCATGGACTCGAGAAGTCTCTATTGTCAGATCCGCGTAGTGATCTGCCTGGTTACTTATCGGTGATGAAACGTCTGGAAGAGGCTCTGAGATTTCTGGGTGACAATTGTGGATTGGCAATTCAGTGGTTGGAGGATATAGTAGAGTACTTGGAGGATAATGCGGTTGCGGATGACAGGTACCTTTCAAATTTGAAGAAATCATTGAAAAGTCTCCGAGAATTGCAGAGTGAGGAGGAAAAGGCCGACCTCGATGGAGGGCTTCTGGAGGCTGCTTTGGAAAAATTAGAAAATGAGTTTAGGAGGCTCCTCACAGAAAATAGCGTGCCACTTCCAATGTCGTCATCATCTTCTCTTGGAGAACAAGCATGCATTGCGCCTTCACCATTACCTGTTCTGGTAATCCAGAAGTTGCAAGCTATACTTGGAAGATTGATTGCTAATAACAGACTTGAGAAGTGTATATCTATTTATGTTGAAGTTCGAAGTTCGAATGTAAGGGCAAGTTTACAAGCTCTCAATTTGGATTACCTTGAGATATCAATTGCAGAGTTTAATGATGTGCTGAGCATAGAGGGATATATATCAAAGTGGGGAAAGCATTTGGAGTTTGCTGTGAAACACTTGTTTGAGGCGGAGTATAAGTTGTGTAATGATGTTTTTGAGAGGATTGGATTGGATGTGTGGATGGGTTGCTTTGCAAAGATAGCTGCTCAGGCTGGTATCCTTGCATTCCTACAATTTGGTAAGACTGTTACAGAGAGCAAAAAAGATCCGATAAAGCTTTTGAAGTTGTTGGATATATTTGCATCTTTAAACAAATTGAGGCTGGACTTCAACCGGCTTTTTGGTGGACCAGCATGTATTGAAATCCAAATTCTGACAAGGGATCTCATTAAGAGTGTCATTGATGGAGCAGCTGAAATTTTCTGGGAGCTACTGCTTCAGGTGAAACTGCAAAGGCAGAACCCGCCTCCTCAAGATGGGAGTGTTCCGAAATTGGTCAGTTTTATTACGGATTATTGTAATAAACTGCTTGGGGATGATTATAAGCCAATCTTAACTCAGGTTCTCATCATTTATCGAAGTTGGAAGCATGAGAAATTCCAAGAAGGGCTCCTTATAAATGAGGTTTTAGAAATTGTTAAAGCCATTGAACTAAATTTGGAGGCATGGATAAAGGCTTATGAGGATACCAGCTTGGCCAGCCTTTTTGCAATGAACAACCATTGGCATTTATACAAGCACCTGAAGGGAACTAAACTGGGGGTTCTGCTGGGGGATGCTTGGTTACGAGAACATGAACAGTACAAAGACTATTATTTCACAGTTTTCTTGAGAGATAGCTGGGGGAAACTTCCAGGTCATTTAAGCAGAGAAGGTCTGATTCTGTTCTCAGGTGGTCGTGCCACTGCCCGTGATCTTGTCAAGAAGAGGTTAAAAAGCTTCAATGAAACGTTCGATGACATGTATAAGAAGCAATCGAGTTGGGTAATGTCAGATAAAGATCTAAGGGAGAAGACATGCCAGCTCATAGTGCAGGCTGTTGTGCCTGTTTACAGAAGTTACATGCAGAATTATGGGCCCTTGGTCGAGCAAGATGCAAGTTCAAGCAAGTATGCAAAGTACTCTGTGCAGACTTTTGAAAAAATGCTCATGTCTCTTTTTCAGCCAAAGCCTGTTAGATATGGCAGTTTCAAAGGTAGGCAAATGAGCGGGAAATTCAATGGAGTAGCAGATCTCCGCCGTACTACCTCTGCGGTTGTGTGATTGTTGAACTATGTGCATTGTGGAATCACATGGCAGGATTATCCTCCCCTTTACATGATTGGCCTTTCATCTTGTATATGACGACATTCTCAGGAGCCTGGAACTGAATACTGCTGTCCCATTGCCTGAGATTCCAAGATATGGCATCCCTGTAACTCATCTGAATGTTATGAAGAGTTGAACACTGTTTCCATTGCGCGTGAGTTCTAGGCCATGGGGTCTCCAATTCCATGCATGATGATGAACAATTATAACCCAGTTGGACCCCGGCGTAGATAATATATTCAGGTATAGCTATCCATTTTTCGTTCTTCTCAGACTCATTGATTAAGTTATACTAGGTTAGGCAGCCGGAGAAACCTTATAGCTTTGCTAGATTCTGTGTACAATTCTTTCGTATAAAGTGCATCAAAG